TTTTGGACCAATTATACGGTTTGTTAACACTCAAAACAGGCAAAATGTAATTACATTTTGAGCTGGGAAAGGGAACAGAAAGGCGATGCCACCTTTTGAAATCCGATTTTATATTGTTAACTGTGTGCAAAACTTTCTCATTTCGCTTTGCAATATTCAGTGGAAAAGGTGTGCTGAGAACAAGCAACAAGATACGAGTATGCAAATGTTTGAGACGTTTGCCAAATGCAAATTGCAACAACAGCCACCACCAACTAATGCAATTCCCCGTGCATTTCCCCCCTTTCGGCACAGAATACCCCCTCATAATGCTCCTTTAATGCCCTCCAACTAATGAGCCTACATTAAGGAAATTCGAGAACGCAGCAATTTCGGAGGCGCCACCTGCTGCTTGTACACTGGGAAAGCAAATTATGAGTTGTTATTAGTTAAATGTAAGTTACTGAATAAATAAATAATTTTATTCAGTCAGACTTATTCTATTACTTTATATAAAACTTTCTATTTTATTGCGCCAATATTTTCAAAAGTAATTCCTTTAAAGTCATATGAAACAAATGTTTAATTATTCAAAGCCTAAAAAGTATTAATTTGTTACCTCTATATTTAAAATTGTTCTTAACTTTTCAATATAAATAATACACATTTCTGTGTATCAGTCAAAGACAGATTAGCGGGAGAGAATATTGCAGTTTGTCACGTAATTTATTAAAATGCTATACACATATGTGTGGAGGGGGCATGGTCGTTAGGGAGGGGCGGCGGAGCTTAGAGGGACAATTGGCGTAATCATCGTTATGCCATCGTCATAATCAGCGATGCCATTGTATATGCCTCGACAGCAGCTCATTGATTTGCAATTATGGGACGTGCTACATTTGGTGAGGCGGTGCCAATATCACCCCAACCCTTTCAATGGGAAGGGTTTTTCAACTGCTCCATCACCCCTTAAGATTAAATTTAAAGCCGACATGCGATTTATTCAGCAATAAAACGATTAAATTGGTCAGTAATCGAATTAACTTACTTTGGCGACTTATCAGCCGTAATTTAACATGTTGTTTATGGCTTAGGTTGTGCTTTAAATATAAGATTATTCGTCATTATAAAAAAACTAGTGTTTCAATAAATAATTTTATTAAAAAAATATATTTTTTAATATTAAATAATATATTTTTGTCTTATTATTATTTTTTTAATCTGTTGAGTTCCCTCCCTAAAGCTGGAATTAAATTCTGGCATTTCGCTTTGCTTTTGGTGTCTTTTTGTCGCCATATTACAATGGTTAATTTTATTGCTCGCTTTTATTGTTGTAATTTTGTGAAATCTTCTCCTGTTTTGCGTTTTTTCCCTGCTCCTGTTTTCTTATGGTGAAAAACTTTTGCAATTGTGTGCGACTTGCTATCTGCGTCTCCATTGTTGTGTCTGTGTGTGCAAGTATAAAAATTAGCCTCATTTTGTTTGGCTTTTGTGCTCCGCCTGCCATTTTGTGGAAATGCGGGGGGTGGCCCTGCAGTAAATCAAAAGTTGAAAATTATAATAAAGTCACTTTTGCTGTTCCTATATCATGGACCACAGCTCGGCCCGCTCCAGATTTTCCCGCCCATCCTACTATCTCCATCTGTCTCTGCTCAAGTTTTATCAAGTTCAGTTGCAGCAGCCACAAAAAACTTATTTCCTTCTGCTGGTGTGGCTAATAAAAAGCCAAAACAATTTAGATTAACTGTAAATTGTGTTATTTTGTTTAGCCAGTGAGTGGATTTGTCGTTCTTGTTGCTGTAGTTGTTGTTAATGCTCTTTGAGCTGGTAATTTGCGAACGCCCCAAAAAGTAGGCAACACTTTTGTGAGCCCAGCTAAAAAGGAAGTCTATACAAAAGTCCTGGCCTGTTATAAATGCGAGAATTCAGCTGGCTTGAAGGAAAGGAAGGTGACCAGCAGCTGCCATTGGGATAAATAATGCTTGAATAATTACAAGAAACATGGACAAGCTGATTTTGAATGGCTCGCAAAATATGATTCAAGCGAAGGAACAGAGGTTGGCTACATAAGTTAACCGTGATATTTATGGTTCAAACTGAACAATATGTAAGGTGATTTATAACAAAATAGTTAATGTTTTGTATTCCTTTAGTTTCATGATCACCAAAACGTTACTTCGAGATTTACAAAAAGAATTTAGAAAACAACGAATAAAAAATATATAAATATTATATAAAAGAAATATACATATTGCACTTAAAAAATCCATGTACTTAAAATCATTTTTTCATTAAAGGTATGTTTATATATAGAGTATTAAAGAGTCAAAATCTAAAAATACCTTTTGATCCACCCATGGTAGTTTTGCATTTAGAAATAGAGGTCTTGACTTCCGTCAATTTCTTGTGCTTTCCCCTTTCCAATCTCCGACTTTCTCCTCTAGTGACATTTGGCTGCCTTTCGGGGCTGGTCCTTTGTCTCCGAAATCGGTTGAAATGGCCACTCAATGCGCTCTGTTAATTTTGCTCCACAAATGAAACTGGGACTCTGCGCAAGGGCTTAGGCCGAGCTATCACTAAATGCGCTTGAATTATTTATAAAAGGCATATTCATGAGCACTGGCTCACTCACCAGCAAGGTGAGTGGGTGACTAGTGTAAATCCTTGGGGATGGGGATGCAAATGGGGGAAGGGTCGGAAATGGGAGTCGGGAAACGGAAATGTTAACTAGTTTGAGCAAAAGCGAAGCTGCTTGACAATGGCATTAGAATGTCGAAAAGTTTTAGCCCGGCAACCGCTTACTCACTCAATTAGCACGGTCAGTTCTCGAGCTTTTTATGCAAATCTCGGTGGGCGGGAAAATCGTAATGGGGGCGTGGCAATGAGAACCATTAGATGGTACATCAACTGTACATTAACTTGTCTGTTTTTGTTTCATTAGCAAGGACAGCAAAAGGGATTCACTTAAAAAAATAATTACACAATTGAACAAAGATTATATTAAGTTATGATTTAAGAATATGATTTTCGAACAGATAACTTTATATTCGTATATGTGTATACAAATTAATTATTTCTGTAAAATATTTGATATTTTCTAATTTGTAAAATGTACGTAAACAATATATTTAATTATCATTCACATCAATATCATTACTTAATATGAAATTATATTAATTATGAATTAATTTCTAAGTGTAGGTGACTTCAGATAGCTGAACCATATCCTGCGGCTTCCCAAGTCTCAAGTCCTGGCAACTTGACAGCGGCAGCCTCAGCCGAAGCTGCAACAGCAGGAGGCGACCACAAGCCTTTAACAAAAGCTAGTAAAGACCAAAGGCGAAACTGAGGCAGAAATAATAGGGGAAGTGGGCGAAATTGCGAGAATGTTATTTGGCTTTTGCATATGGAACGAATGACGATGGCACTTTCAGTGAATTGCCTGCATATCGAGTGCGTATGAAAGATGAAAAGCACAAGGCGAAAAAGGAGCAATAAAATAACAAGAAATATGGCCAATCGATGAATGGTCGGAGGTGCACGGAAAGTGCAAGGTAAATAACCAAAGAAAACGAAAGCAGATGAATGGAGAGCTGGTGAAGCTCACTTAAGCTCTGTGAAAAGCTGGAACCGTTAAAGAGAATACTTGGCTATAATGGCAAGAAGCTAACAAACGTTAGCGGTTAACCAATTAATATTTAACCTGTTTACTTAACTTACCGCATTGATAACGAAACTCATTTAAATGTTGTAATTTGTTGATCAATCAAAAAGCGAATCGCGTTTTTGAATCTTCACGCATCGCTGGCAAAGACAACATCAGAAAAAGTATGGAAAATGACGTTTCTGTTGGACATCACTCAATCTCCCCTCGAATCACCATCCGCTGCCCACTTTTTGACTTTGTGCGTGTGACATACGCAAATATTTATACATCATTCCTTTGGCTTCGCTTCTCCCTTTCCGCATCACTCACACTCCCTTTGTACAGTTGTGCATAAAATTATGTAAATTCCTTGCATCCACAATTGGGGCAAAAAAAATATAATTAAAAAACAAAAGAAAATATACATATATATGCAAGGCATAACAATTTAAATAAATCCATTTATGTCATTTAACTTGTTATAATTATTATTATATATTTTAATTTAATCGTGTATATAATTTTGACCACGACTGTTCACAGTGGCAAAAGCAAGACCATAAAAGTTAAGTAAATATATAAACACGCATCAGCTTACGCTTGCCTGCCTGTCAGCCTCTTTATTATTGTTGGTTGTTCTGCGTTTTTGCTGGTGTTGTTATTGATATACGTGAAAGTGTATATGTTTGCGTATATATTTGTACTGCACACACGTAAATCAAAATGTTTGTAAGTTGAGTAAACAACATTGAAAATCAGTTATGTTTTACTGCATTATAAACTACCCAATAAAGACCCTCCCTTTTTGACCCCGCAGTTCGAAAAAAACGAATTTCTCTCACTGACCTTTTGCGTAATTTCAACGATAAATTGCGCGTGAATGATGCATAAATCAAATAAAGTTGAGGAGAATTATATACGAGTATATATATGTATGAGTCTGCCAATTGTATCGACCGAGTTTAAAATTTCACAGCATACTTTTTGGATCCATCGAGCAATGAAAAGTATGTAGGCGAATGAAAAAAACGAGAAATAAAAAAATATACACATGCATATTAAAGGCAGGTTAAAAATTAATTTCAATAAAGCGAAAATGTTAAAAATGGTATTAACAGAATTCAGAGGCTTCATTTGACAGTTAAGTCATTGATTCTCAAAATGTTACCTAAAAGAATATTATAACATTTCTAATACAACTCTTATTTATATAAAAATCATTGGAATTTTCTTTCTTTAAAGCATATTACAAAAAAAAAAAAATTAATAAGAAATTCAAAGAACGATCTCTTATAATACTTTCATTTTTTCAGAATATAATGTTTACTAAATTACAAAAAAATTTAAATGTCTAAACTGAATTGAACGGCAAAAGTAAAACGGCTTAAAACGACTCTTTATTTATTACATTATCCTTATATTTTAAAAGTCAGTAAAGTGGGCTTAGTCGGTCGGGCTTATTCGCTCCCTGTTCATATGAAAGTAGGCCAGAAAGAGCGCGAAGACAGCCAACCCGATAAGTCCGCACCAGAAGCCAAAGGATCCGGAGTTGAACTCATCATGATATACTTCGCAGACATCGCCGCCGACAATTAGATTTAGCTTGTCCCTTACGCCAGGTGCTCCAGCCATCGAATATTTTCGGGGAGGCCAAGTTCGAGCCACAAATTTTGAAACATTCCAGAAGGCCGAGAGTGATGTGTGGGCCAAGGGCTCCTGGGATTGGGACGTTCGGCGACCGAAAAAGTCGCCTAACAATGATGAATCATCATAACAGGTAACAGGATGCCTGCGCCATAATTGAATTTAGTGCTAATGATGGCATTGACGATAGCACATAATATTCCACATTAATTCAAGCAGACATTAATTGATTGATTATTTGATTGCATTATTGTCAATATCACAATTGCAATTTGGTCGCTCCGCTTCAGCGGTTCGCGTCAACGCGTCGTCCTGTGTATTTATATCCTGGTTGTCAGTCGAGCCTGACACATTCGCGATATTGAATGTTTGTCATCGGGTAACAACATTGATAATAATTTAGCACAATTTACATGCTGACAGCCATAATTAATCGATGCAACCGTGCCTCCAATGTCGTTTGTATATCCTCGAAATGAAGCTTAATGATGAAGTGGAATAATATTAACCTAATGGATATGTGTTGTAAGTAGCCATGATTGAAAAAACACATAAATATTTCGTTTAATCAGAGTATATTATGTTAGCCTGGTAAAGCATTCCGTTAGCTCCTTGACATAAATATTTTAATTGATTCTGCAAACGCAGCTTACCAACTTCTTTAAAAATAAGGATTTCACTTCTTCTACATTCCTTTTCATGTTGATTCACTTTCTTCCATGTAGCAGGTGAATATTTGACTTAAGAGGCAGATAAAACTTACGCTTCACCGAAGAAGAAAGAGGGGAAATATTTAATTTACATTTAACTTTTCGTTGTGCCCTTTCCCTCCGGCAATTATGTGCCTCGGGGAGATTCTAAGCGAAATTTTGTACTCCCTGCAATTATACAAAAATTCATCTCGTTCTCGTTTCTTTTTCGTATTGCATTATTCATGGGTTGGGGCTAAGCAAATTAAAAGCTAGCTTACCCGCCTCAGCTGGCCAAATAATTGTTTGAAGTTCGCTCTTGGCCTGGCCTGTAATCTGCGGCAGTTTTGGCCACTAATTTCGCCTTGAGACAAAACCGCCTACCGAAAAGAGTACTCCGCAAGCACTAAGCTCAATTGAAATTGCTTTTGGGATGGGGAAAAGGCAAAAAAAAAAAAAAGAGAAACGCCGGGAATGCCGTAGAGTAATTGAAATATTGGCAGTGAGCTCAACTCGTAAATTATGCACCGGAAACCAAGGAAAAAAGCGAAGGAATTCCTTCTACAGTTCGCTGTGTAAACTAAAGATAGAGAAGGAGCCAACTTTCCCTAAGATTCTCTTTAATTTATAATTTATCAGTTTTGTGCTTTTGATGCTGTTTTTGGCTGCCCAACAAGCAAACTTTGATTGCGGTAATTAGCAAATTGTGCAACTCCCTCAAGAGGAACGCTCTTCTTTGCGTTTTACCTGCAAGGCAACCGCAAATACACATTAATTGAGAGGAAATGTTTTTACTTTCCTCTTTTATTTGGAAGACTTAAAAAATTATATATTTAAAGATACTACCCCTAAACTTTGAATGTTACAAGTAAACCAGCTTCTTAAACTACAATTTATTTTTTGCATGCAAGAGGGGGAAGCCAACTAAAGTCTTGTGAAAAGGGTAAACTGGGTAAACCAATTTGCCAAGGGTCCCGGGCATATCTGTCGGAATATATGTATATCGCACAATGAAATTGCCTATGTGGCAATATAGTTTCCTGCCACAGCTCCTGCAGCAGGACAGCATCTTTTTTCTGTGCACCCTAACCCGACTGGGTTTTATTATTGTTACTTTGAGGCAGCCACAATCCAATGTCCAACCCCTGCTGCTTTTTTGCCAGGTGAAAACCTAAGCTAAGCAAACATACAAAAAAGTGTTAGTATGCTCAACGCGACACTCGCCACCATATAGCCACCCCCTCACCGCCCTTTTTTGGCCATCACAAAATGTCCTTTTAGCAGAGGACATACACACATGCGTATGTAAAAATTTCCGACGTGATGTAAATTTCTATTGAATGCTGAATGGGCAGAAAAAATATTTTTAATGGTCTTTTGGCCAGCCAAAGCGAACGGGATCCGGGACAAAAGACCAGAAACCGAAGGCCCATCAGAATGGTCGACAGTTGAATGAATTGTCGGTCGAATCGATGGGACGACAGGTGTTATCCTGTGGTTGGGCGCCGAAAACTATTCCACATATGCCAACTGTTCCACAGCCTACTTATTTGCGGAATAATAATCAGGAATCGAACTGAAAGCTTGCAGTTTGTAATGAAAACAAGGGTACAAAGTTGGGGTTTAAACAGATGCCTCTTTCGCCTGAGTCATTGCAATTAAGCTAAGTGTCTTTACCTGAAAAGCTTAGATATTGTTACTAAATTAGGTAATCGAAGATGATTTTATCGAAAAGGCAATTTATAGCTAACATTTGTGTATTTTAACATACCAATCGCCTGTATGAAGATAAGTTTATATTTATTTTAAAAAGTAAACGCAATATGGCACATAAGCTTGAATCCTATTAATATGAAAAGGGGGGTGTACATATAATTATAGATTTTGCTTCAATACTATAAACTACAAAATTCGTTTTCATTTTGTAATCACAAGCTTAATTCAGTCCAAAATATATGCATTAGCCATTCAACCAACATTGCAGCTCAATTTTAATGGAAAACCAAAACACATGTCGGCAAATCTGTCAGTGCCAAAGCAAACCAATCAATTTATCGGATTTTCCCGCCACCTCGTTCGCATTTCCATCACTCAAAAAACACTTTAAACCATTTACGTTTTGTCATAATTGCAAATTCCGTTATCAGATCATAACGAATAAACAGACGCGCTCACAGAAAACATGACCTTTATCAAATCAAACTTAATTCCCATGAAATCCGCATCAACTGCGTGCAACATCGTTGACCTTGTGCCCCATGCAGAGCAGCGTCAACGGAAAACCAGTGAAAATTCCACACAATAACAGTACGAATAAATCGAAAGATAGGGCAAAATAAAAAAATAAAAAAAAAACAAGAAACACAGCGTGACATGTCATTATTGGGGCTTTGACAGGCAAATTCCAAAATTCAAATATTCCAAATCGATGCGATTGGGGGGCGGTCATGGGGATCAGTGTCCGTGTGTATTTTGTGTGGAACTCGGAGAAAATATTTGAATATGTATGGTTTATTGTATTTTTGCATAATTTGGCATGTAAAACATTTACAACAACAATGCTAAACGAGATGAAAAACGTGCTGTTGTGTCAGAGGAAGAAAATTATGGAAATATTGCATCATGTGCCGCATGCCAGGAAAATTGTGCGGCTTTTCTATTTTGATTGCAGTTGATTGTTGTAGCGAACAGAATACCCTCGTGATTGTGGCTGCCATTGAGCAAGGGGTATATTCGATTTTTTCGCGGAATTCCACTTTAAGTGTCTTCACTTAGAAAGCTAATAAATCGGTAGAAATTAGGAGATACTGCTATTTATTAGATGACTAAAAATGTTTTTTAAGTCGAAATATAAAGTAATGCACTGAGCTTCAGCTTTCTATCTTAACTGAAATATAATGTCGGTTTCACCGTATATTAATACAATAGTATTAATGTTTAACATTCCCCTTTGAACAATTGCCCTGAATCATGCGAGATATAAAGGACTTTGCACGTACTTAGACATCTCGTATTGTGGTTGCATTATAATTATGTATATATGTATGTGTGTTAAATGTACATGTAAAATAAAAATATCATATATGGGGTGATTCAGTTTTTACCTGTCCCACGGTGAGCTTGTTGTTTATGTTTTGGTGTCAGGGAGCAAAGTGCATTCGGTTTTATATGCAAATATGCCAAGTTTAGAATGCGATTTCGAGTGTTCTGCCATCTTGGCTAGTGTATAGTGTGGGACATGACTATAAAACTGTTTCCGATCACTGATCAGAGAAGGATAGAAAAAACAAGCCAACCAAGATTTCTTTCGATATTTCTTATCAAAATTACGTTTAATAAACTTGTTGAAAAAGTAATACCCTACCTGTCTTTACACATATTATAAGCACTGTATAAGCCCTCCATACCTTGGCTTTTTGTCATCCTCCATACACATTTATCTTGTGCGAACATTTTGCTGTCATATTTATTTATCAACAGAATGCGGCAAACTTCTTTGGCGTCTTCGCAAAACGGCGTAACAAAATAATTCCATGCTCCCGAAATTTATGTCAGCTTAGATACGTACTGCGCACACAACCAAATGGGAAGAAATCTTCATGTAATCTCTGAAAAAGTCTGCTCCCTTCTCCACGAAAATTGAAGGTTAACTTCTCAGCTTAAAGTTGTCTTCGGGGTTTTGTTTATTTCAATAAAAAAGCAATTTATAAAACCAGGTTTACCTGATCTGATACCGAAATTCCCCCCTCTCCCCACCACTTGTCTACCTGAGTTATGCAAATATCTATGGAGTAAGCGAAAAGAGCGTCTGTCATATGGGTCATAAAAGACACTTTTTATTGCTCATTTGACAATATGGCTGCACCCAAGCTTCGCCTCTTTTGATGCCAAATCTAAATAATTTGGCAATTCCGTGCTGATTTTATTACAAGCCACAAAAGGGCAGACATTAAAAGGTACCTAAAAAATAACAGCCAGCCACGAATGAAAATTCTTGCGACTGGGCATGTCGATAAGGTTTGATTAAAAACGTACGCAGTCATGCATGTCGTATGAGCAATATTTTAAATGCATGGCAAACAAAATTAACATTATAAGAAATATACTTCAAATGTTTAAAAACGTATTTTTTTTAAATTGTTAGAATGATTTTCACACTCATCATATTCCATCAATTGTTGTTTTTATGGCTAGATTCATACTACTTTTCTATTTCCTTTTTTATAATTTTGTATCACAAAAAATATAGTGCAAATTTTACTTAGAAACTAAGATTTAATTCTGTTTTAAATAAGGCTTTTATCTTTTTCATTTATTAAGACACAACAGCATATGAACAGTATTCACAAATTAATTTTATCTCTTTCAGGAAATCCTTTCATGTGACT